TGAATACTATACATTTATTGTGACAAAATCATTTTAATAATATTTCAATAATTTTGCAGAACTCATAAAACATGTTATTTATTGAAAAACATAATATTTTGTAAATAATAAAATGACATTGTACACCGCAGTTTGTACCTTGTACCTGTATTGCCTATACGTCACGCCGTCTACGTCACGACTTCAGATAGTATTATTATATAGGTTACTCAACGGAAACAATAAAATTATCGGTCTACTGATTGACAGGCGCAGTTGTCACCAAAACTCAGCTATTCGGCATAGCACAAATAGTAATTTCCATGCATGTTATCTAAATTATATCATTATGATACGGAATACGGATATCGGAAATTAAAATTATAAAATCATAAAAAATTCCTGGCGAATGAAAATATTATCTCGAAATGACCGCACTACAGTGCTAAGGGTTCTCACAGTAGCGTAATCGAAAATAAACATCGAGCACCAAATATAATGCTGCGTTGAGTGACTTGTGTATCTTAAATTATGGTATTATAGATAATATATAAAGTCAGACAGAGTATCAAGTATAAACCAGGGCTTGAAACCGATTTTGAATACCGGTTTATACAGTTAAAAACCAAAATCGGTATCGAAAGTAAAAACAAAATCGAAAAAACAATACCGGTTATCAAAACCAAAATTAAATCGGAAAAAATGTTTTCTCATTCAAACCCCCTGATTTAAACTGTAACTGTAACAGAATTCTTAATTAATTGAATCAACAGATAAAAGAAATACGTAAGTATCAAACGTGTTTTTTATTTTAAACTTTATTTAAAAATAAACGAAATATCTTAGACATAAATTCAATAATAGCTATAAATGTAAACTTTGTCTGATTAATTATTAAAAGTCCTTGGTAAACAGACATTTTAATTTATACGAAGTAAACATCATCAGTGAAGTTGTTATTCTTTACCGTGTTTCATTTTAATAAAATAATACCATGTTTTTTTCAGTACAATTTAATTTAATAGATTTGTCAGATTTTAATTTGTCAAGGTTATAAATAATTTAAGCATATGGTAATAAAAAGTTAATTTTCAATTTATGATAGTTGGATCGACTTTATGCAATGATAACATTCAACATAAATTAGCCGAATTAATAATTACTGTAGACTGCAGTACTTCTTTAATCTTTAACTATTAATTTAAAAATGTATAATTGTAATTTGATCAAAACCAGAAAAACATTTTAGAACTAAGGATTAATACAATGAGTCTTTGTAATAATATTAATGTATGCACTGATGTTTCATATTTTAGAAAAACGTATAAGAAAATAAATTTAAATGAAATTGAAGATTTTTTAAAAAAAATACATTACAATCATTAAAACTATAATAATTTTAATTATTAATAAATCATTATTATACAATGATTTTTCGTAAGAAGGCGTACCATCATACAATTATTATACTACTATGTATTTCTAAATAGCTACTTCGACGAAAATGCGTGGACCGTCAAAATGTACGTGATATAAATAATATATATATACATGCGTAATATATTATTCATGTATATTGTATACGTTTAACCGATGACGTGTATGGGTTGTATAAATAATTTATAAATATGTTATTAAAACATTATTAGTATCGCATAATATAGAAAATGTTATATTATCATCATCATACGACAACAATATTAGTAACGTTGCATATTAAAATGGAATCGGGACGCGGTTTAACACTTTATGGATGCCAAAAAATACTGTATATAGTGCACCTATATATAGGAAAAAGAGATATCTCGCTCGACAGTCCGCGCTTGGAGATATTATTAAAAAACCTTGATATATTATGACGGCGGAAATATTCGGTGGAATAACAAAAGTATATTCCAGTTAGTATAATGTCATCACACGATTTTCTCATTGGAATACGACACTTGCATCGGAGTGTCATATTTCACTAGACGCGTTACGATATAATTATTGTTATTGGGTGTAAGTTTTTTTTATAATATATTGTACAAGTAATTTTATTTCCACCGCGTCCCGACTGTTGATGGGCGCCCTAACACACGTGCACAGTATAAAAGTATTATGTGACGTGTGTAATAACTTAATGTAATGTTGTAACATAATATTTTTTCAACCCTTCGACGTAATAAGCACATGATTAAGTATGGTAATAATTTAAAAGGGATGTTCAAAAACTAGAAAAAATATTGAGCTTTATCGGCATACCCTTGGACGCCAACACTTACCTGCTTGATTTATTCGGAGGACACCGAGGATGGTGGTCGTGTGGGAAAAAGTGTCAATAAAAACCCGGTATACGATCAGCCAAGGCTCTTGTGCGCATGGTCGAAGTAAACGTAGTCGATTTTATAATATTGAAGTGTAAATTATAACATACAAAATAGTTAGTAGAGGAACGGGCAGGACCAGTGACATGCAACATATGCGGTCCATGTGCTCCCCGAGCAACACCTTAATTAATATAAGTGGGTGGATATTGATATAAGGAAACTGAAAATTTAACGTTTTATTGGTTAAATATTACAATTTTTAAAGTTGAATTTTATGAGGACTGAGGAGTATGTCACTTAAAAATAAGTTGACCACCGTTTACTAGACGATTTGTTTGTTGTCTATAAATGCACAGGCTGGCCCGCCGCTTGTCTGTGCTAATTTAATGAGAAAACAGTAAAACATCGAGAGCCATTGTACGTTTTATAATAATATCTTGAGGTCTCGGAGAATACAGTGTGTAACAAACGTTTATCAATTATCAACAACTGTGTCAAAAACATTGAGCCACTTGAACTATTGTATGTGTGGGTATTTTGGGTAGTTTTGTCCTTATTCATATTACACCAGGATACATTTCAGTGGCATATTTTTGAAAACAAACTTTTGAAATCTTAACGGAACCCGTTGAAACAATAATACAAAATTATCAATCAACTCCTACGCAATATTAAAAATAAAATAGATCATCGGTAGATACATCGACCCGTGAGCACGCCCCTGAGGGTATACGACTACACGATAATATCTTAGTTGAGACAAAAAGTTTTACGAGGTAAAAAATAAAAAAAGGTCGCTCTCGGATCAATTTCAGTGGCCGGTTGTATACAAAATTGTATAATAATAAGCTAACAGTTTTATTTGAAAAATCATTGAATAGAATTTTAATTAGTTTTTACTGTGATTGATTACTGTTTTAACAAACTAGTTACTAAAATACGTGCATATATAATCGTATTTAAACTTTCACTCGTATATACCATGATAGTGCACAATTCTGTTGTTTTTAATTTTTGATTTTTAAATTACACTGAAAGTGGATATTAATTTTTTTCAAAGATATTAGTTTCTCTGTATGCTTTGACTTCATTCTAAAAATACTCTTACTTCTAAATAGGTAAATAATATAATAACAAGTCCAAGTAGTGTATCTCGCGTCATCTGGATGGAAGCAATCGAAGTGACCTGCGACCTTTTTCCACAGTTGATAATATCGTAATAATAATAATAATAATCTTATTTTCCTATACCTAGTTAGGTCACCAAAGAACAAATGGTTCTTTAGCTCGATCGTTCAAGCCCGTTCCTAGATCGTTGAAAAGTGAGCACCAAGTGTACGTCGCCTGTGATAATTAACTCCCAACACGATATTATAACATCGTGTTTAAGTACGTCAAATGTTAACGTCAAATTATCATCCTTCCGGTCGGCGGCACGTCATACAGAATAAAGCGTGGGCTCGTTTTATGATAAAATATTTGTTATAATATTAATATAAGAATAAGGCATTATTATTATGGCGGGTACCAAAGTCAAAAAATACATTTGCGTGATTAAACCGCATTTTCGACAAACTTTGTCGTATCGTTAAAAACTTGAAAATGTGAAGTAAAAAAACCGCCGACTTTGTATTATTATTATACTGTCACCGTGCTAATTGCGTGTTTTTTCTTTTTTCTATCGCCGCTGAAGTACGCCGCCGCGTGTTGTGCGCGGTAAGAAACACGCGATTTTATTTCACACGGTTTTTTTGAAAAATGTTTAAAAACTCCGATTCGATGATAAACTATGCACACAGCACTCTGCATAACGGCGACAAACAAACAATATAGCTAACAACGACAAGACATCTAGGCACGTAAATGAATTACAGTTTTTTTTTTTGTTTTTTCGTTTCGGAGCATTGCGTGCTTGCGGGGTTTTACGGCAACATTTTAAGACTAACGAAGTATGTTTATTTAATGCAATAAAAATTATAACATCGTATAATATATTTTTGATAAATATAAACACAAAAATAACCTCTCGCTTTTTATTTTTGTGTAACTAATTTATACACCGTAACAGCAAAAGTTCTTGTGTTTTCCGTACTTTGAAATTACTAAACCTATAAAATATTTTTTCGACATCTACGTAAAAAATTAAGACGATTAAAAAAACATTTTTCTCCAAAGCATAAGTATAATAGTATTGACGTTTTTTTTAAAAAAATTTACATCATTAAATACCCCAGCGGAATTTCTATTCAATTATTTCAATCTTTGAAAAAGTGAACGAGATATTCGCAGAAATCTCGGATTTTGAAATTTCATAACTTCTAAAGCGGAATGCCGTATTGGAGCAACGATATACCTGAATTAATTTACAAATGAACTAACTCGGTTTAGTACGTACTTAGTGAATTTTGAAAAAAAATTAATGGCACTCAGATATTGCAGATCTTTCGACCATTAATGATACGCGTTAATGGTTTATAAATTATAATGATATTGTATACCAAACTCGATAATACTCTTTCCGAATGCATGTACTTCCAGTACTTACTATTATACAGATATTTTAAACACCGAACAGGGCCTGTTTATTATACCCGGTATAATTTATGAACCTTATCGGTAACGACGTTCTTACAATACGCATCGACCAAAAACGCGAAGTAAATCATCAAACCCGCCGATACGCGTTCGTTGATTGTTTTGATTGTGTTTCAGTTTTCGGTTGAGTTTCAAGAGGAAAGAAAGGGGTGGCGGTTCAGGAGGTAGTGTTTACGGTTGTCGAGAACACCGGGACAGCATATCGGCAGTTCCCGCGAGGTTCATTCAAGCAACCAGCGTACGCAGAGAGACACTCAATCCAAAATGGGGAGAAAATTTCATGTTGTAAGTATCCGCCTATGAGCTCTACCCGTAATATGACATTTGTTTTCATCTTGGATATCTGTGATTTATACTGTAAATTCGTTGTTGTTCTTAGTGACATCGACGACGTGACTAGTGACATCTTACACTTGGACATTTGGTAAGATAAACGATGATATTTGTATTATATTCGTAATACATGATAGCCTATCGGTGGAATTTTCAGTAGGAATTCATATATTGTTATACCTAATGTGATAAAATTGTATTTTCAATAGTTATATAAATCTATTATACGATCATCATATTGTTTTAAAATATTTTGTAGTACATAAAATGGTAGAAAATCGAACTTGTATTATATTTTGTTTACCAACGTGTGATGGTGTGCAGGGACCACGATGACGAGTCGTCCGTGTTAGACGCTGTCAGCAAATTAAACGAAGTGAGGGGCGTCAAGGGCCTGGGGAGGTTTTTCAAGCAGATCGCTCAGAGCGCTAGATCCGGTAGCCAAGACGATTTCTTGGGATGCATAAATATACCGATTCAAGTAACATAATATATGCATTATATATTCAGGCTTAAAGCCGAGTCTGCGCACGTACATATGGGTAGCTATAACAAGATATTGTTTTTGGCGTAACAGGACGTGCCTTCTACGGGCCTAGACAAGTGGTATCAGCTAGAAGCCCGATCGCAGCGGTCCAACATCCAAGGTAATATAAGGCTAAAGCTGTGGTTGTCCACCCGCGAGGACCACGGCCAGGCGAGTACTCAAAATAATTTTGACAACTGGACCGATGTGCGTCGTAATGAAAGACTGTTGACCATATTCGCCGATTATGAGATGTCACTGACGAAATCCGTAAGTAGCTAAGTAGCTAATACTATATGAATTTTGCACGAACGAGTTAAAAAGTGTCAATTTTAACTTTTTAACTTAAATTTTTAAAATTTAATTTTTATCAACTTAATTTTTAACTCGACTGATTTTTATTGATATAAACTTGTCAAGACATTTATTCTGTAATCGCCGTCTTCCGCCGTTGGTACGTACGCCGTACACCCCTACTCTCCTCCCGTCATACCTTATCGGTGGTTTTGCGTGTGTAGATGTACTGAGCATTTTACGCACTGTAGCGTTGCAATAACTGACGGACCTGTGTATTGTTGCGCGGGATCGTTACCGTGTTTACCGCCGACAACGTTTTGTTTTTATACCATCGTTTTGTACCGTTACCAGTTTACCACCGTCGATTACACCTACTACCGTTGATTGTAGTTACCACGTCAGTGTTGCAGCGACCACCCACCACACCGTACCACAACACCGCCTGACCACGGATTGCCTGGTTTTTTTATGTTTATTATTATTTATTGTTTTTATTGTTAATTATTATATGCAATATGGCATTTTTTTTCCTGTTAAAACCCATAGAATAATTTTACCCCTCAGCTGGCCAGCACCTATTGTGCCCCCGATAAAATAATTTGTTTGTAGTATTCAAATAGTAGGCCGTCAATACGGCAATGTGACGTAAAAACAACCGTGTTCCTTGATTTACCAGTCAGTTCAATTAATTTTAAGATTCCTTATACAGTCTATTATATTCCGAAACAAAACCAAATAAACCAAACATACTTTACTATTAATCAAACGTTAATTTTTAAATGATTAAATAATTAATATAATATAATTATTATTTAAGATGTATATTGCATAAACATTTATTTTTTGTTATTTTAAACCATATAACTAGCTGCTTATATACTAAAAAATCAATAAATAAGTAATTTAGCCTGGGGTAATAAGTCAATTATAAGTTTTCAAATAACTTTTAACTTAACTAAGTTTAAAAAAAAATTTAGGATAACTATTAACTTTAAACTTTTTAAAATGTTTTCAATCAACTCAACTTAACTCAGTTAAAAATTACCATTAACTTTGCCAGGCTTGAAAATTCCTTGATTTCGGCATTCGAGTTTCGTTCTACTGAATTTGCAGTACTACTAATATTTATTACTATTATTATTATTATTATTATTATTATTATTATTATTATTATTATTATTATTATTGCAGAGCCTGTGGAACGGTGAACTCTGTCACGAGGCGACAAGTATACTTCATCAGCACGCCGTGCAGAGTGGAGTCTCGGAACTTCAATTGGCCGTGATAAGGTGGTTGGCCTTCAGTCACATTCCGTCTATAGACCCACAGTTTCTCTTGAAACAGTTGTCTCAATTAGAAGCCGCTTGGGGAGAACAGACGTTAACCGTCGAAGAGGTCAGTGGTTGGCGAAGAGCTGTTTTGCTTATGCCTTATACACATCCACATAAAAATGTTACCTACCCACGTTACAAATGTTTTTATTAATTTAAGCGACAGCGCAGACAACCGATAAATATTTGAATTATTTTTAAAAACGTTCGTTACACTATCGCAGAACCTACGTGTAGCACATTATTTGTATCTATTTATATTATTTCAATTACTCGTTATTATTATAATTTTAAAACTGATAGCTAGATAAAGCGTTGGCGTGATTAATAAATCCGATACCGAACAACATTTCTATGTTTTATATTTGTTTACGATTCAAAATATAGTAATACGAAATGTATAATATCATCGGATTGATCTTTTTATAGGAGGACTGGCTGGCAGACTCTTTCAACGTTTTCTTGGACTATTCCATGCAACTGATCCGGAAATACCGCAAGCTCTTTCCGCCGTACCATCACATATCGATGAATCGCCTGGAGTACATTCTCAGGTAAACAATTAATGAAGAGGTTTTTTTCAATAAAATGTAATCATTTTGATTTGTATTCTGTGTTTCTGAACATCATTTCCACGTAATAACCGACTTGAAATTCTGATGATATTTTTAATTACAGATGTTTGAGCCGACTTTCGCTGTCGAAAGCTTATGGTAAATGCTGTCCCTTCAATAAGGATATCCGTGGGGAAATCGGCAACGCGCTCAGACTTGGTACGAACGAGTGGTATGAAGAAAATAGAAAATTCATGGCCTCCGGACAGCACGATCCGGAAACGCGACTCAAAGGATTCGTAAGATTAGTCACTTCCGTGTTGATTGATCTACAAAAAGGAGTGGAACACTATAACGTTCTATTTGAAAAGTAATTCGATTTGTAGTTACGAGTGTTGTTGCTGTAGTCTGAAAACGTTATTGATTCGATAAAAAATGAAAATTGCTTTGTGTTTGCAGTATAAACGGCGTGTTTTACTACGCGGCGATCTACAAACAACACGAGAAATTAGTAAGTACTCACAGACGGTAAACGTTATTATTGAAGTTCTAATAATTCATAATAGGCCGATCGATAATTCAGTTAGCAGTAACGAATGATATTGTGTTTTCTCAGTTGGCAAAGGGATTTTCAAATCATTTGGACATAATCATAGAGGTACAAAGTATGACACGACCCCGTAAATGAATATTAGTGCCCTCGCAGTAGTATTCTCAGTGCTACAATTTCGTTGCCAATAAAATCATATTAATATGTGTTTTAGGCGAAGAATATTATTATTATATTATGTTTGTTAGAAGTGTTTAAACGCTTTATCCGATAATATGAACAAGTTGTGCCACTCGATATAATAATTATAGAGAGAGTTTTTTTTTGAAAAATTGTTCATAGATTTTAGTTTTGAAAACATATGATGCGTATTGCGTATAGATGTTTGTGGATTTATATTTATGTATAGAGTGATATTATTTAGTTGAGAATGTTATACATTTGTTTTCATACTTTATTTTTCAATTATTTTTTTTTTTAATTACACAATTCTATGATTGCAGTTGTCCAACGATCTGAGCCAAGAAATAGCTCCCATTTGCAAAAAAGTAAAAGGAGCCGATTTCGGTATGGACACACCACTGTCTCCGACGAACTCCGAAACCGGGGAATCGCTGTTTGAGCTGTATCTAGCCGTTCAGGAGTTTATCAGGTTTGTTTCGGGACACGAAATTACGAAATCAAACTTACTACCGAAATAAAATCTTATTTTATTCGTAATTCAAAAATTAATACCCCTATAAGCACGCAATATTATGGTACCCATCTATTACATATTTCATATATTTAATATCGTTATCGTTATCAGGTACCGCGAGCATCTCAATGCGTCTGATTATCAAGGCCTGTCAACACAATGCTATTATCATTGGTTCGAACCAGCTTTGGAAAAGTGGCTGGACCTGGCCAAATTGAAAATCGTGCAGCGTGCGAAAAAAGCACTAGAGTTAAGTATGATCTGTCAAGGCGAAATGATCGTAAAACACTCGACGTCCAGCAACGACTTGGTTACAGCACTGTGTCATGTGAGTAAAATAGAACAACTCCGCGCAATAATGTTCCCCTCGAGACAGTAGACATTTTACCATTTTATTTATCTCGCATCGTGTTTACGCAGATGAAGGAATTCTGGAAACACCTCGCCTGGCCGGACCTGATCCAGTCGTACAATTTCGTGTTGAAATTATTAGACGTAATGTTGTTTGCTCATTTGACTATAATAAACGCGAGACTTGCACTGCGAAATCAAAAAATAATAATAATATTTATGTCATTTTGCAGGCCATGTGCGAAGCTGTCCTGTTTTACGCCCAACTGGTCCACCAAAGGCTAAAAGATTCTGGCTTTTACGATGACGTCTCGGCATTCAAAACGTCTGACGAAGTAAGTATATATCATGATATATCAAAGGCACATGAGCGTCATATTATTATAATATAACACTAAGGATGGCAATTAACTATTCAAAAAGTTAAAGTAAAGTTACTTTTAGCTAAGTCAAATGAATTTCCACTATACTCAGGTTGGTACTGCATATCTGCATATCATCTGAACTGAAATAACCGTATGCGAGTTAATTAACGGTTTATTGTCCCACCGAATTAATTTTTTCTATGCACGAACGCCGCAGATTTGAAACAAGTTTTTTGATAAGTAAAATCAAAAATTTAAAAATATCTGACATTTTTACGGTAAAGTAACTTTTAACTTGACTTGAGTTTTTCGATAATAACTCAAATTAACGAGTTAAAAACTAGATCAGCTTTGCATACATTTTGTTCAAATGCAACTCGATTCTTTTTTCGACGATTATTTTCCCGTCATAACATACTTTTGCACCCTGCAGGTGTGTGCCGCCCTAAACGACTTGGAATACGTGTGGCGAACCGTCGCAGCGATGCCGGACGACCTGCACTTGGAAACCGTCGTGTCCGCGGTTGAGGCCACGGGTGAGGCCACCGCCGACCAATGTCGGGCCGACGTCACCTCACTACTCGATCCCGTGTTCAACCAGTACGGCACGTACTCGATGCTGATCGTCGGCCGGATCGCTGTCAGGGTAAGTGTATATAGTTGTGCGGTCGAGAGTACCTAATTATTGTTATTTATTTATTTGGATTTGTGTCCGCCGTCCCCCCCCCCCCGACCGTACGTTCCGCGGGTGGAAGTACGAAATCATACGAATAAAACGTTCGAATTGGTTCCAAATAAGAAATTATCATACCACATCATACTGCAACTATTCGAATTTGTCGAGACTTTTAGTTTTATTACGTAAAAATAATAATATGAAGCAGATCCAATGACGATTTTCCACCAAAAATTGGTGCAGACAACGAACTACACGTCGTCGCTGTTCGTTTGACGGAAAACTTAATTCGGAATTTAATAATTCTGCACGTCCAAATACATTTGTATTAATTGAAAAAAAGGTCCAATGTGAAATGTCTGAAAGTTAAAACATGGAATCATACGACTAAAGGTTGAGAAAAGCAGCTGAAAAGAAAAAGTTGATAAAATCTGCTAACAAAATAAATGAAAAAATTGAAAGACTGCCAAATTTTAACTTTGCGATTCTTAAGAACTGTATGTGGAAGTGTAAACCCCAAACATTTTGTTTTCTACTTCGACTTTTTTGATATTTTATTATTATTAGTAATGACCATTACGTGTGAAGCATATTACTTAACCTTATGTATATATTGACTAGCAATACAAACGTATCGACCATATTATTTAGGTATTCTAGACATTCTTAAGTCTGTGTAAAATAGGAAAGAAACTGTTATCGGTTGAATATAGAATAATTTTTCAACTACAGAATTATTAAAATGAAAATTCATCGGAATCAATTCGTATGTATATACCTATAGTCTACTCGGAAACCAATTCGGTAGTTTAGAATCACTTGGGTAATTGGACACTAACAGTAGGCTTCCCCCATATATGATATACAAGGCGTTCGAAAAGGTCGGAGACGGATATCCGTTCTATCAACGAATATTAACACAACGTTTCCGATCTTCTCGTGTATTGCACGACTGAACTAATACTCACGACTTGTGGCGCCCGACAGATGCAAGCGCCCCTAAAGAAGTGTATTTTCCACCTGGCGTGGTCGCCGGACACACTACCGACCACCGACGCCATCATCCCGCTGCAGGAGTACCTGGACAGCCATCTGATCTCGCTCAACACGAACCTTATACCGAAAAACTTCCACAAGGTGTTGAACGGTGTGTGGGAGGTGACTGTCTACGAGCTGGGCCACCAGATGGATGGCGGCAGTGGTGACACGAAGATGTCTGGTTTCTACGAACGGTTGTACGAGGCCCTGGAACTGCTAGTGGAGTTCTTTCACGCCGAGGGCAACGGGCTTCCGCCGGAAATTTTGACTGGAAGTAAGTGTTGACTGTGGTCACGTCATTATCACTTGAACATAACTGTAATACAAATTTCCTGGCCAATATATATGTGCGTTATCAATCAAATAATAACTGTAAAAAACATTAATTCATAATATTGTTTCTTATAATTTGTTATTATTACCAATACGATAATATATTATAAGGATCATCAAATGTCTTATCATGACAGTCGCAAGTCGTTACAATATTCACTGATAGACGACCAAAACCAACGCGATATTGCATTGTTAAAATTATTGTATCATGTTTTTTTTTTCGCTAAACGTTATTTTACTTATTATTTAGAATTTAAAGTTTTAGATTAGACCATAAAATGTATGGTTTTAAATATTTCAAGTATTTCATTTTATTTTAAATATCACAAATATAGGTGATTGTTTATTCGTATGCGTTTAAAATGTACCAAGTGAAAAAAAAAATTAATAGACAATATAAATACCAATATATATTGTTATTCAATATATTTTACTACCTACGAAAAAAAAAAAAACTGAAGACTGGTAATAAAGCAACTTATAAATTTACAAGAACAAGTGCAACAAAAATGTTCTCACCCGCGTAATGTCACTATGATCAGTAATTATTATCGAAACGAGTAACTCTGAGCGCACTAATCGTTTTCGACAGACGTTTACAGGGCCGTGAAGCAGAGACTAAAACTGCACAAAACCGACACTGACACGTTGATTGAACTGTACTACGAAGATCGGTTGATGGAACAGCAGAGGGTGAAGGAAGCAAACTATGGGGTGCTGTCAGTGCGAGCCTATTACCATCACGATTCCCTGTGCGTAGAGGTGCTGAAAGCCCGTGACGTCATACCACTGGACCCGAACGGTAATCGTCGTCATCGCCAATTCACGTATAGAGCAATTCTTTTAGCATGCTAAGCCAACACTAGTCCCTAACTGATGATATTAACTACCTACTGACACTTTTCAAGTTTATTCAAATTTTTACATGTTTCTAACGTGTTAAAAATATGAGTGTTTGAAATTTAAGTAACGTATTTTCAAACATTTACATTTTGGAGTCATTATAAAAGTGCTATGTCACACAAATTTTTAAAATCACTTTCCCTACGAATAGTTGCTTGCGGTTTATTTACTAAATCGAAATTCGAACACTCGAAGGTTCAAATTATTTTCATTTCGACATAAAATACGATCGCTAAAAACGAGGAGACACATTTAACATAATGTAAGTCTTTTATTTCAAAAAACACTTATGTTTTTGATAACATTTATTTTACATAATAAAATACATTGCCTACAGCACGAAATTTTGTATGAAATAATATTTATATCTATAACTCTTTTAACGACAACATACATTTTTGATTTCATCTTCCAAAGCAGAATTTTGTTTAGATTATTTCGATCTAAGGAGATCAAGCTTTAAACAAGTAGCTTATAAATTATTGGTGTTTAAAGTTTCGATAAACGGAGTGGTGCGCCACTCCAATCAAAGCATTAACACATTAAATAATTTATACCTAACTCATAAGCTACTCGTTCAAAATTCGATTCTTGTATAGGTATCGAATTACTTCAAAAATATTCTGATTTGAAATAAGAAATTAAAAATGAATGTATTCATGAATAAGCTTAAAAAAAATTGAAAATTAAAAAATATTATTATTTGACGACTTAAAATAATCATGCACAAAAAATATTTCTAAAAATATTAATAATATTTAAATAATGAGTACCTTACTTTAAAGTTTAAATCTATCACCCGCTATAGATAATTAAAATTCATAACTTATATTTCAGCTAGAAAATTTGACAAACCTACATAAAAAAAAAATCGCCGGCATAACGGTTCCCGAGTACATTTCATATGGAACTAATCCCCCCCCCTTTTCAATGTGCTGGTTGCAGGTTTCAGTGACCCGTTCGTCATCGTCGAGTTGTTACCCAAATCCATGTTCCCATACACCGCGGAACAGTACACCGATGTAAAGAAGAAAACACTGAACCCACTGTTTGATGAGTGTTTCGAATTGTAAGTGTCCCACGCTGATACACGTGAAGTATATCTTATAAAAATCATAATATATAGACTATCGGGGGCTGGAATTGTGCCTCGATATTTAATTTTTTTTCCAAACCGTAAACATGACCAAGGAATGTACGAATGGATATAATTTTCATTATTAAATGAACATTTGATAATTTATTTTTATTCAAATAACTTTTCGATCGAAATCGACGTTGAATATTTACAATATTCACAATTGACCCTCACAAATTTGAAAACCCACTCACTTAAATTTCGGGAAGACATCTTTTTTTCTTCGTAACTCTCAACAAGTAGTATATTGTTGGATACGAAACCAAAAATTCCATTATAGTGTTATTCCAGTACTCACGGTCTCGATACTATATTATAATAGTATTATATCGTTTCACACATTTTGACGTTTATCTTGGAGTTCATATTATACTTACTGACGACGATTATGGTTTTCGCCATGTTGCAGTGCCGTTTCGATGGACCAGTGTCGTCACGAGTCCGCCATGATCCTGTTTACCGTCATGGACCATGACGTGATAACGTCTAACGATTTCGCCGGAGAATCGTTTCTGTCGCTCAACTCCATACCGGGCGTTCTCGCGCCGCTTCCGCACGACATCAACGCCATCGACAGAGTCGACTTAATACTCATGCACCAACAGAACAAAGGTAAAATAAAATAAAGAGAAAAAAATTGCAACGAGATGGGTGGGACTCGCGAATGTGGTTTGAAAACGAGCCTAGTGTGATAGTACTTTTTGTTGTCCAAAATGGGCGGGTGGCACTTTTAGTAAAATGTTTGAGAATTACCGATAGGTCCGTAGATAGGTATTGGATAGAAAACGCTCACCGTTCAATAACTCTAGTTTATTTAACTTTTATAAAATATTAATATCGTAAGGTAAAATTTGAATATATTATTGAATTAATATTATGTGTGTGTGCATTTACAACATAATTATTATTTATTTATGAATGGACAAAGATAGTGGTCACTGGTCAATGCCACAATGGTGTAAATTGCACAACAAATACCATTGGCCACAGATGGTAGAACATTTTTTTATAATTCAGTTGAAATTTAAAAATAATTAATTTAATTTTTTAATAATCATAAATAATAGACTACAACCGTGACCATTCAAAAGAGGGGGACGCAGATCTCAAAATCAGGACAATCCACTCTCCCTGAGGTAGGACGTCTGATCACATACTAATTAGTAATTACGACTGGAGATGACTCGCGATTCCGAGATGATAGTAATTTGCACAGTTTAGTGTTCAAAATAGGGACGAATGACCAAACTCAGGTCGACCTTTCAAGTACAGATTCTGTTCACTCCTGTGGTAGGAAATCGTGTAGGTCAAACGTCTGCACTAAGGCCTGTGATGTTGTGAAATGTTCAGACGCGACAGATTTTCCACCGTCGATTACATTTTATCCAAATGGATTTGTTTAAGCACTAGAAAGCTAACTTGTATGAAAAAATCCAAAAATGTAAAGTTGAAATTGTTAATTCCCATTGAGTGCCCATTATAGAGTTATACTTTTTTTTTAAATTTTAAACGAAATTACATACTACACTGCTTTGTTCAGTGGTTCGTGTACGCTGTCAGCCATACATTTTAATATAATCATTTTTTTTTAGATCTTAGAACACTATTATGTTTATAATATTATATATTAATGTATGTAATAATAAAAATATGAAAAAAAAAAAAAAAAATAAAATAAAAAAAAAAAACCCTATAAAGACATACATTTTATGTACAAAAAAACAAATGTGTTTTGTGTTAGGAAAAATAGATTGGAAATTTCCCGTGACATTATAACACTGTCCCTGCAGTGTACATAATGTTAAATACAGTAATATTGTCATTATATTTATACATTTTTTTTCTTATAGGCTTTACGAGCCATTTAGACTCTTAGCCATCAAAACTTCTTCCTTCCATCGCTCTGTATCATATGCCTGTATATATCCAATTTCTTTTAATAATTCCTTGACGCTGTCTTTCCATCTTTTCCGTGGTCTTCCCCTTGGTCTCTTTCCCCTCACCATATATGTCAAGCATACTTCCATCGACCCGCCATACATGGCCTGCCCATTTTATCCTTGTCCATCTGGTGAATTGGACAGCTTAATAAATTAGGTATACAAAATGACACACCAAGCATCTCATCCCCCCCTTTGCAGTTATTCAAAACTTTATTGTTTAAATAGGTATTTAAATTTACTTAAAGACAATATTTTCGAATACTTAAGATGTTTTTGTACCAATTAATGACCTGTGGTAGTATAAATTTCTGTTTTTTCTAATGAGATTAACTTCCTTTGTTTACTTTAAATAATTCAATAGATGATTTTTTTTTTTAATAACGATAAAGTACCTAAAGTAAAATGTGACGAATAGTTTCCGAGTTAGGCTTCCTATTAATCATAATTATCTAGCTACAAAGGATAATATTAATATAAATATATTATTATGTAATATTTATTTACGAAAATATTTAAAGGAAAACCAGAAGGATAGGAATTATTACATTTTTTATTGAATATCAATTAACTATATATAGTAGCTAAGCCATATTAATCTCAGATATTTTAAAAATTTTAAATAAGTAGGTATCTGAATAATAACTATAATAATATAAGTATAGACAGACATGTATTTAGATTAACCAACGCCGGATGCCCAGGATACTATATCAATATACCATTGACTATTATTCTGAGTGCATGAAGTTTAACAAGTCAAAAACTACTTCTTTAAATGTTGACGTGAGCACATACAAATTAAAAAAAACTATCTCCTGAATAATATTGTAAAACTATAAATTTGTATTTCTCATTGGAAAACAAAAGTTCGTATCTCCGCAGTGCATTCCTTAAATTGTACATCAAATCTCAAGTACCTAGGCTTTCATTCGAAAATACGGTCTTCGAGTGTATTTAACATTTATCATCTTTTGAATAACTTCATCATATCAAAAGTGGTGCGCATGCGAGGTGAATCACTCCTTGCAATAATTCGTCGATTCTGACGATATTTGTATACATTATTTATTTCTACGTCTGCAAAGACTAAACACTGCGCCACTATTTATAACATATTTTGGTGATACTGGCCGTCGTCAAGATTTCCTGATTGACTGTATCGTAATGTTTTGTTTGTTTCCCGCCGTGTATAGGTCATCCAATACTTCACACCCTGGACGCCAGGCACGAAGATAAGGTTGCGCAGGACTTCGTGAAAAAGCAGAGGGTCCGCACTACCAACTCATGAGGCCCGCAGTGTCTTGCCGTGACAGCGCTTACAGGGTGTTGCGTCTCGGCCCTCGGCGAATCGCCCGAGCCTTGATCGCCAACGTCAACATCGACGAGTGCCACGTCTTCTGCTGTTGCACCGCGGTCGAAGTCCGACGAAAACATAACACTATTTTTTAAACATTATGATATTACGACTAGTACAACAAACGTGACGATAAAGGAAAAGATTTTAAAAGTTTAACAAAAAAATATTCACGAATTTAATGTATAATATTTCGTTTACTAGCCTCATCATAAAAAAATTTAATGCCACTGTATACATTACGATTTTATTGTTGTATAAAAATAATAGCGTGCGGATAAAACTGCGTGACAATAATATTATTATTATTATTATTATTATTATTATTATATGTTTGCACTCGAATTTCGATGTTGATCGCGAAGCCGCCGCTGCTTGCAGCCATTGCACTTCGAACATTTCTTCATTATAACCTATTGAACTATAATAATATATGTTATCGTTACATTATAATACACGCCCACGAACCTCTGAAACTCGGAGACTTCGATGACTTTTGAGAAAAACTATTTGATGCAGTAATTACATGTTCAAATCGAGTTAACGGAACTGCGATGGTCCCATGCGTAACGCGTATAATACTCATACAAATTGTACCTATTTACTATATTCAAACGTCAAACTCGATCCGAATAATTTAAATATAATATATTAAAAATAAATAATAACAATATTGTTTTATTTCAGTTGACACATTTAACATATTTTCAACTATACTCTGTCTCTAAAGAGAACAGTCGCTTTTCACGCATCGCGAAAATCACGTGATCACGTTAACACCGGGCATCCGGTGGGAGATGCGCAGCATTGACGTAAATCGGTCGGCCGACTGATTTTTCGCTTTCGGGACAGAATATAGGATTAAAAGACAATCTATATAATGGTTTTCGATCGTGTCGAGTACACGATGATTACAAGACCATCATACTATTATTTTGAATACTATTATTACTACATACTTATACAGTAGGCCTACTATCTATCGCCTATCTATTTGCAAAAATTGTAATGTTCAATTTGTTTTCTCTCATTATATTATATTATTATTATTATTATTATTATTATTACAAACTATAATACGCGTATATTTTGATTTCTATAATATAATATTATTATTATTATTATCATTTTATCATTATTATTATAACTGTTATAATATTATATAAAAAAAAAAAAATACTACTGTAAGTTATATTTCGGTAATTATAAAACATACTGTAAATGTTTACCTACCTAAAATGTATGACGACCAATTTTAATGATATGATTACGCAGCTACAATATTATAAAAATATTATGTTACATATTATATTATTATAAACATGATACAATATAGCATTATAATTTAACTACCATAACAATACTGTCCCGTAAGTTCTAATTATTATTTATTAATATTCATACATTCATTTCCATGTACAACTCTTTTTGTAAATTCTACAAAATCAGGTAAAACAATATAAGGTTTTGCGTGAAATTTGTACATTGATTTTTTAACACACCTAATATTAATATATTATGTTTAATGTTTATATTATATGATTATAATATGATTTAACAATAAATTACGATATTAGATCTACTCGGTTTTAGATGTTATTAGTAGAGCTAGGACTTTGGTGACTTTTGCATTTTTTTTCTCTGAGTGTTATACAATTCTAACCAAAAACTTAATTTGTTTCGTAATATAACAATTTAAAATATGTGATTTTTATTTTGCATTTTTTAGCATTTTTTGTGTAAATGCATTTTATTGCATTTTTAAGGTCATTTTTACGTAATATTACAAATATTACGTTCATTTTGTGTATTTAAACTAATTTTTGCAGTTTATTTTAAGCTTTTTTAATATGTGTTGTAAAGGTCATCCCCATTAGTACCTATAGGCAATTACCTACTATTGTCGATTTATCCGATAAGATTAAATATCAAACGAACCCATAACTATTTAGGTATACAATAGTAGCTTTAGTAGTGAATTCGACACGTACTTATGTGGTTCTACCGATCTTAACTGTACAAAATTCCAAAAATTAAGTCAACAGTAGGAAGCCGTTTACGTAGTTTTGTGAGCGAGTTTGATGCCGATATTTTTTCTGCGGACGGTATAGTGCCTTCGTTTAAAGTTTGTAATGTTGCAGTTGCCTCCGAAAATACATTTACAATTCATCAGTCGAGATAAGCATGCTCGTGGAATTCAACGAAAACTGAATGAAGTGAACAAAATAAAAAAGTACTATTATCTAATTTAACAAATAATAGTAATCAATCGTCATTTAATTTAGAGCTTTGTGAAACATTATTAGCAGCTAATATTCCACTTGCTAAATTAAATAACACAAATTTTTGAAATTTTTTAGTAAAAAATATAAAATTTAAGATCCTTGACGAGTCTACATTGCGTAAAAATTATGTTGAAAAATGCTATTTAAATACAATACGAAATATTAGACACTAAGTAGGCGATAAAAAAAAATTGGGTTGGTGTAGATGAAACGACAGATTTTGAAGGCCGTTATGTAGTAATTATCGTTATTGGTACCCTGGAAGCAGAAAATTCAGGAAAAAAATTTTTGTTATATTCTGATGTCTTGGAAAAAACAAATCATTCAACCGTTACAAAAGCATTCGATGAAGCCATGTTTACAGAATGTCCTGAATGAATAAAAAACGATAATGTCCTCATTTTTGTATCTGATGCTGACCCATATATGGTAAAAGCAGGGAGAGCGTGGCGCATGCAATTCATAAAGTTTCGGAAGAAAAAAGATCAAATTTTCAAGATGTCAATAAATTTATAAGTTGCGTAGAAAATTTTTTTTTTAATCACCATAACGTACACAAATGTTTAAAACTCTTGCTCCAAAAATTCCATTGACACCCGGACCCGTAATCACGCGATGGGGTACCTGGCTAAATGCTGTAAATTACTATTGTGAGAATTATTCGTATGTAAAAAAAGTTTTGGTTGAATTAAATCCTGATGATTCGACTAAAATAAAATAAGCAAAAGAACTTATATCTAAATCAAGTTCAGAGGCTAATTTAATTTATATAAAATCTAGAGGCTTCTGTAATCTTTTTATCAGAATCTATAAATAAAATAAAACAAATTAAGACTACATTGTCAATTGCTCCTAATGTAATAGGAGAAACAATATCAAACAAACTAAAAAATTTTTTGATGAAAAATAATAAGTTTAAAGTTTTAAAAAATATATCTGCTATTCTGATCGGTGAAAATACAACAAGTAGAGATGGTATTCCAGAAGACCTAAATTTAAATGATATGGTTCATTTCAAATATACCTACCCCTGTGGACGTTGGACAAAGTTTTTCTTCATATAAAAACATTTTATCTGACCGCCGTCGCAGCTTCCTGTTTGAAAACCTTAAGAATTATCTAATTGTGCAATACAATAATATGTGAACAGGTGAAAAAAAATATGATATATTTTTCATTAAATTATTTTAATTTATGCTTTTATTGATTTTTCAGAATAATTATATCAGGAAGTGGTTACATTCACAAGTCTATTATGTTCATAATTAATAATTAATAATAATATTTATTTTTAAAATACATTTTTTTGTAACACCTAAGTTCATTTATTGAAGTTTTTATTTTTATTTTTTTTTTTTAGTGCATTTTTTTGTATTTTTTAGGTTAGTTATTTCTAGTTCTAGTTATTAGTTCCGAAACACGCCATACATTTCTAATATCCTTATTCCTTTCTTTCTCGTCGACAAATTCATAAACTATCTCAAATGCTTATTATTTCAAAACCATCCTGATACTATTTAGTTTTCAAAACATTTGGAACATATTTTTAAGTATCTAGTTAGGTATATTATTTAAACGTCCAAGCCGGTGGACATAATATTTTCTGCGCAAAATCCGTTTAGAATATATTAATAAATTATGAAATGAATACGTCGTGTTAATGGATATAAGGTGCAAAATAAATACCTGACAAGTATAACAGTGGCGGTTTTGACTAACATGCGGCGACCAAAAATCTATAATTAATATAAAAAATAAGACCTAACCTCTTTAATATGCTAATTTTGAAAATTCATCTTTTATGTCAATATCTCTAACTATCAAAGTTTAGGCTCTAAGTTGATCAGTCAGTCAGTCAGGACAAGTACGATTACGTATGTATATATTTAGATTTACTAGCTGTATAACCTCACTTCACAGGCAACAAAATGAACAAATATAATAAACAGAATATCTTCATTTTAGTATATTAAGTCAGTACAGACAGTTCAGATTGCATAACTGTGCGCCGTGTCGCTCCTACTTTTAACAATCGCGGTTAGCGACAACGACTCGCGCAATGCCGTAGCAGGGAAGAGGAGCGAACTCACAATATATTACCTCGTACAAATCTTATTGATTAGGTTAATGCGTAATGACGCGATATATATATATTTTTACACAATAATAAATATTGTAAACGCCGTGTACAATTTGACACGCGCTACAACCAATAAAAATAATAGTTTGCACAGTAAATAATAATTTGAACAATAACTATAACAATAAACAATGGTAATTTTATAATATGACCTGATCGACACCTCGGGGACAGGTCACTGGTCAACACGGTCCTCGCTGGAAATGCGACAGCGTCTTCCTCGTCATCAACCAAAATCGGCACCGGGGCGCAGTTGAACGACGGTCCAGCGTTGACACATATAATAAAATAACTCGGTGGTGTGGGGTGACACAGTCCGTCAAACTTAAACTGTCTTGAAGTTTACGACGGTATAAACGTGCACCAATTATGAGCGTAAATCATAAATAGTTAGGAATAATGACCACGAGGTCTAACCACAGCCACACGAAGCCACGCGAACCGGCGGTACGTGATCCGCCAGGCTCGAGCGTAGGAAAAAGACAACCACAAAAAACGTCCTTGGCACGGGAGCCGTGGACGCCGGCCGGCGTGTGGACGCCGTGGAGGGGGAACGACTCATCGCGAACATTCCGCGCCGAACATGAGACTTGTAAAGCCTTTGGACTTTGGTAGATTCGGCGGGAAGTTCAGCCGTGTTCGAACAATAACACATGGCTTATTGGTGAACGTGGTTCAAACTGCTCTCTAATCTTTCACGGTGTCTCTGAAAATATTCTTTGAAAATGTCGACAAAATCGGTAGAGTAGTTTTTGAGTCTATAGTAATAAAAATGTATCAAAATAATTTTATAATTAATGGGTTACATTGTATAGTGGCAGCCTACGTCCCGGCCACTCAGTAACGGCGATAGGGGAGAACAAATGAAACATATGTCCAGGGCCCAGCACTTGTTAAAGGGCCCCGCGATTTGTAATTATCATCTTAATACCTTACAGCACACTGACATTTTACATAATTACATTTACAAATTATAAATATATAAATGTATTATTCTATACTACACATCACACAATATGTAATATTATACTATACATTAGTCCTATCACCAGTTATTTGGAAAACGATATAGTATAAATATAGCCAAACAAATTTAGCTTAATTTTAACTGCAAAGTAAATCGTTATCGATACGACGAAAGAGTAATATTTTGAAGATACCCGTCGGATAGGATTCCTACAATAAATATTTATTATCTCCATAGTTATTGTTTTATCTGTTCTTTATTTGGAAAAGCTTTCCGCGTATTCCCGTATGTCCGTGTTATTGTATTATAGAAGGGGCAAAAGCTATATTCTTAAAATATTTATTTGATGAGGTATCTAAAATGCATATGTTCTTTCTTCAATTATTGAATTGATTTGAATATTGTTGTTGTATGTACCTAATTGGTTATTATTTTAGTATTTGTAAATAATTTTGTGTTCACACATTATAAAAAAAAAAAGATAAGACTACTCTAATATTATTATTTTAAAAGTTTACAATTCGAAGAAAAACAGTATATTTTTTTAAATCCTGATTTAAAAATAGCTAGAATTATACCCTCCTCTGGGGTACTTAGTGGCTAATATCTTGTCCAGGGCCACGCAATACCTACCGCCGGAACTGCGGCCACTAACTCTACTTTCAGCAGGTAAATAAGACGACTAATAGCCAGAAAATCAACCACCAACCATCTCTATACGTGATAACACGATTATGAATGCAATTACAAACTCTTAAAAAAAAGCCCTTTTAAGGTCTTCGATAACACTCTAATTCACTCTGATGAATCCAGCTACGAATTAACCTGGTTTTTAAATTTTTAAATGATACAACACTCTTCGAGTCTCAAGGAATTGATTGACGAAATTTTGTTGAACATAGTCCAGTAATTTTTGAGTCTATAAACTGCAAACAGACAAACCTCCATTTTTATACCGATATAGATAGATATATAAATTATAAGTGGTGTAACTAAATATTAAATAATGCTATATAATACACACATATATATGATTTTTTTTGTTCTAATAATCGATACTTTTAAATACATTTATTTTTTAAATGTTTGCTACTACATAATATTAATTATTATTTATATAACATTTTGTCAATATTTCTTATTGCAACAATTCGGGACTCGACGTCTTAAAGAAATAGATATATTATTTATTCCGAACCAATTTACAGACGAAATGGCGCTATAATAAAAACGCTCACGTGACCGTCCGATGAAAGGGCTCTTAAAATGACGTTAATATTATTGCATGTGGTAACATAAAATACGGTGTAAGGTCCTGTACAACATGGTCCTGTCGAAATCAACTGACCGAGAATCGACCGTGGAAAAAATAAAAACGAAAAGTAATCCCTAAAAATGTCAGTATATTATTGATGCGTTCGTGGGTGTATGGGTGTGTGGGTGCGATGGCCGACCACTAAGTACGTAACAATAATGAACTATCAAAATATATTATTTTTTATTTTAGAATTATACAAATCGTTCCACAAACACGGAAAATCAAAACTAAACATATAAATTTATTCTAATAGTAATATTGTAAATAACACACATGTATACATAAATAATATTTTAAATATACGCAATATAATACTAGGTACCTATATATATGTATATAAAACTATAATAAAATAATACTATCATCTTAGTATAGAAAATAATGCTCATGAAATCGCCTACAAGGCTTATAATACAATGTTCAATTATATAGCGGGTCCGAGTACAAAATTATAATAATGTTAAAAAAAAACAAACAAACGTTTAAAATGAACACGTATCGACAGTAATATTGTTACATTTTACTAGTTTATATAAGATGACGTACTAATAATAATTGTTAAAATGCTATAATGTAATAATAATAGTAGAGGAGCTGTGATCTGCGTCCAGACGACAACACAAATAATGTATTATATATTTATATTGTATGTCGTCGTCAGACAATACAGTAATAATTATGATAATGAAGTTACAATATTGTCTTTTTTATTCATTCACAACATCGATCTCTGTTGACCAAAACTTAATATTACGCTAAACAGGGGCCTCAACAATAACATCTCTATGCCTATGTAAATATTAAAATCTAATATTATTATGTCTTACTGTGTGTTGGTCGGCCAAAATGCACGCAATAGAATCGTTTAAATCACGATTCAATTCAACTCGTCGTAGTTATTTTTGCATAGGTAGTTAGAAACGTATTGCGATTGATTCGATGTAATATTATATGTGTGGCGATAATTCGGTCAAACGAGGGTATGGTGTACCCCGATGGGTGACCCATCTCCATGGTGTCGCGTAAGAGAGTAGAAAAAAAAATCATCGTTATTCCTCTATAAGAACCGAAAAAATAATATATACCGTTTTGTGGTACACACGATCGGCGTGACTTCATTACGATGATTGAATTTTTGAGGAAAGATTTTCGAAAATTGGCGGTTCGATTATAATATAGAAGAGTCGGCAAATCTACGACCAAGCCGATCGGATACTTTTTCGAGTCCCGAAGATTTCCTGAAGTACCAAATCGTGGCTTAGGCATACGCGAATAAATAAACGTAACATAAATAAACAGGGGAATTTTTTCAACAGCAAACATTCATCATCTCAATCAATTCTCTTTTTTTTCCCTCAACACAGCGGTTCTTAAACGGTTTTGAGTACTCTTAAAAGCCTTGAGGTCAATGAATCACCTTTTAGAGACTCGTCGTTGGAATATTGTTATTTCTCTATAATTTCATACAAAATTTAAAGTATAGATTTTCAATAAAAAAAAGTATTGATAGTCCACCGTCAAAACAAATCGTGGCAATTATTTGACTCGCATTATTCAGAAAAACACAAAATTATGTATCTACACACCTAAACAATGTGCGAATGTTTGCTGTTAGAATCGTTCTGCAGCCATATCCGTGCCACTTAAATAGTTGAATACCAGCAGCACTTCATGTGTATGGTATAAGTTAAAAAAAAAATAAACATAATAATTTAAAACGATCGTGTATGAATTGAATCGTGAATCAAGCGTCTATAACGTGTGAAAAAGGTTCCGTAATAATGGAGATTAAAAAAAACTATTTACAAAGATTTAAAAAAATTATCCAAAATCTGTTTGGACTGCGGACGTCAGTGCAGCCGTCCGGAGTATGCCGACGAACCGGATGAGAACGACACGGGAAACTTTGACGGTTGACCGGTGCCAGTGTGGAGCCTACCGCTGCCGAACGCGTCCTGTTGCGCCGTCCTGTACTTGGACCCGATGGCCGCCTGCAGCCGGGACGTCAGGTAGCACAGGATCATTGCTGCAACGAACAGGAGACAGCCCAGGACCCCGGACAGGGCCAGGAACGTCCCGCAGTTGTTCTCGGACGCGGTGGCAGCGCCGTGGTAGATGTCCTCGGGCATGATCACTGTGTACTCGATGTTCTCCTTGAACTTGGCGAAATTAGTCGCGTTCCGGTCGTCGACAGCTGAAGTCTGCTGCTGCAGCGCGGTCCCGTTCCCGGTGCCAGGCACGTGCCTCCTGCGCCTGCGCCCGTGTCCTGACGGCTCGAACAGGTCCAGACAGTATTCCTGAAAATCACGACCGTTGTTAATATTGGTATTTATATTAATATAATATATTATTATCATGACCAAGATCCCGTAAACCAAAAATATTTTCAACTTTGCTGGCCAGCTGCACCGACAAAACAAAATGTATAATAATGCGTTTTCTACGATATAATATACTACTCATGAAGTTGATCAGGATAAGCCTTGGCTCGGGCATCCCATACTTGTTTACACAAAAATTATTGTGTTTAAAGCACAAATCTCAGAGAGTTTATGACACTATCATACTTAGTGAAGACGATATAACTTATTTGAAGAAATACCGTTAAAAACTACTTTCATATTATATAGATGTTTGCTGCGGACGATATACAAAAGGAAAAAAATACCATTCTTGGCATTCTTACTAAACAAAACTCAAACTGTTCGTTTTTAAATAAAAAAAATGATTTTTAATTGGATTGATAATTGTTTAACAGGATAATAATAGTCACCGGAATATAATCCACGCAAAAAGGTATGACTAGCAGAAAAAATATAATAAACTATTAGAGATAATATCCAACAGTGCAGAAATTAAAAAAAAACCTTCTTCATAATATTCCAATGTTTATGATTTTTATCCATACAATGAACTTATGATTCAACATTAATTAATTTAAAACCCAAAAATCAAAGTGTCAGTGAAAAAAACAATTTTCAACACAAATACATACAAACTACGAGAGTATAATATTATATCATATCATATATTTCATATACATTTTAATTATTTAATATTGTTATTGTTAAAATGTGGTTGTTTTCGAATGAACATAATAAAAAATACCCAGCCACTCTGGGCACCCTCGATTCCACAGCAGTATGAAACCGTGTCGGTCGTTCAATTTTAACGGTTTTTCAGTATTATATTATTATTATGTCCAAATGCCAAACCAGGCTCGCAGCGTGTGGGCCACTATTGACACGAGACGACGCTAGTCGTGTCGCAAACCGAGTGGTAACTGTGTAATTTGTGACGATCGCGATGTGCGTATACAGCATACACCCATTACAATAATATCAATAATAATAATATTATACACGTATATTACAACCGGATACACTTCAAGGTCTGCCCGAAAAGTTGACAGAGAAGACGTCTCGAAGAAATCGTAAAAAATCACAGATCCACACACACACAAACATCAAACGGATTTGGGAAGAAGGAAATTAGCGGATCTCGGCAGGCAGCTGTGTACCTGAGCCATCTCTGTACCACACGCACGCACTGTTAATAATTATAACGTATAACAGAAGAAGGAAGTGTACCATTATACTCGACTCACCATAATATTATTAAAATGCAATTTGCGTGCAGTTTCAGCAGCTTTACTGAGACGCATATAAATATATACAAATACAATATGTATTATATTATATGCTCATATGTTTACGGTTATAAGACATCAAGTCCCATATGTGAGCGTTAAACTAAAAAATATAATACTATAATATTATATTATTAGTGGACCTATTACCCTATTATTATTTGTATTTTTCGCTTGAGGAACAAATCAGTTTTAATTGCGTAGGAATATTATGCAATAAAAAATATAGGTAAAATACAACCGTTATGAATTTGGTAGAAATTTAAAACAAATAGGTTTTTTTTAAATTCTATAAAGTCTGTGGTTTTTACTCTAGGCTTGTCAGTTCGATTTGTATAAATATTAGCCCCTAAACTGGTTAAACTATCATAGAACTTGGGAGAATAAGGCTTGGCTTGGATATTCTGTAGGGGGGGATCGAATTTGGATCCAGCCATTGAAACTCTAAAAAGTCAATCGGGGCGAATTTGACTCGGATACCATTCAGATCGGGTCGGGTGTCTCACCGGCTGACAGTCGTTGGCGTCCATGCACGCTTTGATCTGCGAGTGAATCCACAAAGTCGATCGCTCTTTCATGGTGCTCAACAAGAACGCCTCAAAGTCCAAAAACACTTCGTTGTGCCTTTCCCGGTACTTGGCAGGCTGGTGCGGGATGATTGTCGCGAAGTCTCGGTTCCGGCATCTGCAGACATATGACAGATAACAAAATATTAAAACACGAACATTATTATTCACTTTTATAATGAAAAACGATGCCATCACACCATCGTATAGGTACCATAGTCGCCATCGGTCGTATAAGGTAGACAGGTTTATGGGTATTATATATATATAGGTTCTGCGCTGGTGCGCCTATCACTGGGTCACGGGCAATTTTATGTTGTTTAAGCGAGTCTAATAATAATAATAATAATATATGTCCCCGTCATAATAGTATTGTAATATTTCGTCCCGATTCCCCGTGTGTGGTTTATCTACGTAACATTGGAAACGTCGTCGGTTAAAAATCAATAACTGCATTCACCCAAATGTCCATATCACATGGGCACCAAAAAATAATAAATTTAAAATTTAAATAAAAAAAATCGAATTGTGTGAATTGAAAATTGTGTAATGGTCACAGAAATATTTTATTAAACGGAAGTGTAGACGTGCTTTGTTTATCACCGTTTTAAGTAGGTAGATATGATGCGATTTTATTATGATATCTATGGTTCTAGGTATAAGCATAATTTGATAGTTTACCAATCACGCAAAAAGTCTAATTCATATTTGGCAATATTATAATACGTGTGTATGACCAACCTATATAGCGACGTATGCAACTTAAAGTCTACAATAGATCTAAGAATATATGAAATGTACAATACAAAATATTATATCCGAAAATAAGAAATACATCATGATAATTATGATAAAAAATTTTTTTTTCAAATAAAGTGAGTAATCATATTCTAAAATAATTAATTTGAAATACATTTTTATTTATTCTACAAGTCTGATCATTTTTTTATTTAATAACAATTCTCATATTTGTATCATTTAAAAAAATGTTAATAGTTTCATATTGACTGTATACAAATTTATTTTTTGTAATTAACGATAATGAAACAGATAATTTTCTTTTTTTAAATTCACAAAAGTAAATGACACAATCGTTCATTCAAATGTTGATTAAAATATATAAAACTAAAAAATATATTCATAATATAATTTAGGAACTCAACAACAAACTGTAAGAATAAGTGATCTCATTTGAAAAAAAAAAGTTTGTACACCATACAGTACAATTATTAATGTATGTTTGTGTGGGGTAAATTGTCTCTTGATTCGTTTATCTCGTCTCCAATCCACCCTTCGCCCCTAAACAGTGACTACTCTGTTATTGTATATTCATTTTATAATGGCGAGCCTCAACACTGTGGCGCCATCGGTCTAGAATCGTAGTTCGTAATTTATAAAACTTCTCCCGAAAGATATTTGCACCAGTATTCAGTGTTGGAGTAACTATTTCACTTTAATACATTTTTATTGTTACTATTTTTTTTTTTTTTTTTATTAATGTTAAAAACTGACGTCGTCAACTATGGTCCACCGCACCGAATTAATAATCTCCGTTTGGAAAACGGTGTAGTCCATAGAATATAAGCACATTATTAATATTATTATAATACGTCGAGTGTTCTAGTTATTAAAATATTAGTAAGAACGTAGTAAATTACCGTCATTATTATTTCACGAGAGTAAAATGTGTACCGCCGCTGGTATACGTGTAACATTTTATAATATGACGTCATTGTGAATTAAAATAAAATACCTATAGTATACTTCCGACGGAGTTTGTAGTCAGTGGAGGCGAAGAGGTCTTAGGTCGCATTGATACAGAGGGGGGAGATTATAGGCGTATCGAACTATGTGAAGAATAAAATGCGCCTTCCACCGAAAAAAAAGTATATCGATGGGTTATAAAATATATAAGACAAAGTTAATAATATTAACAAAATATTTATAAAAAAAATAATAATAAAATGTTAATTTTTTTAATATGTGTCAAATGCATAAGTATCTGCCTAAATAAACAGTGGTTTTAATGTAAATTTAATGTGAAAAACGTAGTAAGACAACTATTCAAATAAAAATTAGAGAGGAACCACGTCTTCGCTGACATTACATATTGCCCACAATATTATAAAATTATAAATTTTGGTTGTATAAATTATCGTCTTTTAAAATGTACATGACGTGTTTGTTTGCAACGTTGTGGTAATAAATAATATTATGTTATTGTTGTTTTATATAATATAAATGAAATAATAAGTATAATAATTCAATAAATATTTATGATGGCTGCAGTTACACGCGAATATTGAATTGGCGTTTACATGTATTCTTTATATTTGACATCAATTTAATTTTTCATATTAAAAATGTCTATTATAATATACACAAAAGTATTGGTATTTATTTATTTCTACGAATATATTATTGTAGAAAAAATACAAAAAAAATATGATTGTAAATTTATAAATGATATAAATGTTAAATTACAGTAGTTAGGTATGGAGTTTAAAGTTGGAGTTAAACCTGGACTTTTCCTCCTAGCATAATATTATAATAATTATGTACTACTATCATAATTTTTTTTTAGAACTATAATAATTATTTAAATAACACATTTTGTTTATTATATATTTTTATTTATAAAAATACAATCAAATTTTATAATTAATTTCAAAATGCATCAGTAAAAAGATAAATAATTTTAGTATTCACGTAGGTTCTAGTGTGAAACTACAAGAAATACATCAAAATAACCCAACAATTATTGGTTTTGCGTAAGTAAAAAATAAAGTGAAGTTTAAATATTTTTATACGTTTCACCGACCTTTTTAAGATTTTCTGGCATAATATTTAGAATTGTTTTTATAAATATTGAATATTGCAGGTTAAATTGTATAATGTGTAAATAGTCTAAATAAACTGTTATTTATTTTGTTTTTTTAGTCGAGTAAAAAATTGTGTTATTTATTAAAATTTGGCTACCCAAGCATCATTCGTCGAGTATTTCACGTTATTTGTTTTTATCTATTTTGGAGTTTATTCCAAAATACAGCCTTTTTAGTTTTTTTTTCGTCACTAATATTTGTAATAAAAACTTGAGTTCACTGCTTGGTATTTACTCTAGTCAGTCGGTTTGGATTTTGGGAATACTTGTCGTTTTTTTGTTTATATATTCGTTTATTCATACACATTTAAATTAAGTTATATAAAATATTATCCTTGACACTTACCCGTCTTTTACTAGAGCGACACTACCAGATACGTGTGCGTTGTCAGGATCCGGAGACACGGACACTTCCATCAACTTGACAAATTTCCAAGCTAAACAAAAAACAAAGTTAGGCGATTAATTATTGTTACAAACGCAAGAGATTATCGAATTGCAGTGCAGGTTTTATCCCGCACGGCCAAATAGTTAACACATTGTGCACGTAGAGTGAATTTTTTTAATGTAAATAATTTTACTGTTATTATTTCGTCATAAATCGTCAAATACTATTATGATTTCTTTTTACACTAAAATTTTTATGAAATGAATGCGACTTAATAAAATATTTGTATCGCTTTAATTGTTTTACTCTTATTCTCATTGGTAAAGTAGAATCGTAAATGTTATTTTTGACAATGCTCAAGAAGATTATGAAAATCTAACAGTTTTTTATAACAAACATGTAATAATGAGTGAATAAATTACATATACACTTTTGAGTAATAAAATACGAATTTATAAAAAAAATGAAATATTTTTAGGAATAAAACGTTTTCCCTACTTACTACGATAATCGTTTTGTTTAATACGTATATATTATGCGACATGGGTATATTATTATGCTATGAACGATTTTCTTCTCGAATTGTGTACGTGCTATTTATTCCGATAAGTTGTCAGGAGATCAATAATTAAAGTGATTTTTTAATATCATTATTATTATAAAACTCGTCAGAAATGGTTTTTAACCGAATTAGGTTCACGCGGTACGTTTACTTTCCATAAAATAACATAATTAATTTGACCGGGAAAAGTAACTCTCGATCGGAGTTGGTGGCCGCCGTATCATCCGATTAATAATATTAATATGCTAATTTGACGGATTATATTGAGGCGTTTTCTTTTCTTTATTTTTTTTTTTTTTGTATAATTCCCTGTAATGTCCACGGACGCCATGGTGACATATTAATTTCGATTTTTTGGGCTAGCTATAGGTCATCATTCGGTACAATGTCGACGTCCAAAAAGTTGTTAAAAAAAATATAAAGATTTATTGTTTAATTTTAAATAAAATTAGTAACCATCATCGTTTTACAGATTAATGTGCGAAATTATGGCGTGTTTGGTAGCCGGTAAGTTTGTATTCCTACTCTACACCGTGATTGTTATCACAACGACTTTTCGACATGATCAATAGCTTAATATTGATATGGTGCGACGAGGACATAATAATGTGCAAAATAAATGACGTAGTAACATAAGGATTTAAATGGGATACAAGCCCAGAACTGCCGTAGCTCTGTCAAAAAAAAAATTGAAAGGTGAGTTGCAGCCAAAGTACATACGAGTATAAGTATAATATTTTAAATCTATAGTACCACTGATAATATGATAAAATAGTATTTTATGAATATTTTCGATTGTTTGTAGTATATACAATTATACAAATATCGATCACCGCGACACTGTAGATAATTGGTTTAAGCGTATGAGTATATAGTTTGCATATACCACGGTAGCAACTGTGAATATAATATAGGAGCACAAACACGTCGCCTATCGTTATGTGTACCTACTAAGCAGTAACGATGATATCATTCACTAACCGTTCTATCTACCAGAAAAGAGTTGGGCCAAGCTTATATTTTGGACTCGACCTGAGTACCCGACAGACGACGTATCTGTAATTCGGCTCAAGTCACCTGACACTAGAGAACCGACTCCCGACTCGGTGGAAGGTAAATGTCATAGTAATTCTAAAACCGTAGGTATACGGAGTACCATATGTAACGCTAACGTATTCGAGGCGCGAGCGGACGATTTCACACTCAGTGGGTTTTTATCACTTATATTTTATTACTGCCTATAATATGACCTACAGTAGTCAGTGACAATATCTAACCGAATTTGCATTAAATTGAGCTTACTATCATTGAAATTATCACAAAAAGTAAGAGATGCATTCGTTTTAAGTTTTACTAGCTTCCACCGTCAAATTAATCGCTCTGTGCAATGTATACACAAATATATATCTCATATAATACATTATATATAATACATACCTGAATGAGGATTGATCCTGGCCCGGAGTTGAAGTTTGGTACCGATGGGCACGGCTTGGTCGACTGGCAGTTCGCTGTTGTGGCTCAAGTTCGTCAATCGGGCAGGCGCTTCATTGTACAACGCCACCTCGTACTCGAGTCTCCCGGGCGTCTCTTCCACGACTCCAGACACTCGCGCACCGTGTGGGCTGTGTGCAAACCGAACAATCCGTTAAATCACACCATATATCATACATTCATACATTTGACCGCGTGTACGATCTACGTCGTAGGTGCGGTAGGTCTGGTTAATGGTGATACCAGAGTTATAATATGTTTTACTTGTATAACTGCATAATAGTAACTATTACTACTGTTATAACCGTAGACATGGAGGTACACTTGATAATATTTTTCACCGTCAATTCGTGATATATCTATAGCGATATCGGTAATACAAGCTTAATACAATGTTTAAACCTCCAATAATAATAAAATTTACCTACGCCTAATAAGTCATAACTATCTAAGTGTTAAGTCTTGTCTCTGATAACACAATGTCATCGTGACAATGATGCACTTGTACCCTAAAATATTCGTTGACGCTTTGCTTATATAGTATGGCTTATAACTTGATTTAAACCACAGTTATATAATGTATTTAGGTATATAATTGTTTTCGGCGCCATAATATTAAATCATGTAGTATAATACATCATATCATATTGACTTTGTCACGTTGGTATTTTACAGTACCTCGTGGAACGAGCGTTACACGTACGTCAAAACATTTATTGTGCCCTGAAGCCAATCGGAAATAGAATAATAGAAAAATGTTCACACACACACATATTACTATGTATAATATTTAGCATCGTCGCGTTTTAGTGTGTCATCTTTCATAGGTGTGTGGCAATTGGGTCAGTAGGCGAAACGAGCGGGCGCGAAAGAGATGTCCACGGAGGAGGAAGCGAGCGCAGTACCGTGAAAATGTGAATTTAGGTTTTATTTTTTTTCGCGATCACATTCGTCTCGGCCATATTGTTTATTTAAATATCTTCTTCTTTAAATACACACACGTGCACACACACACACACACACACACACACACACACACACACACACATACACACATGTATCGCATATTATATAGGACACGTGAATAATAGTGGTGATAATAATACAAATAATGATTGTTTTCTTTTCACTTATACCGCCGATATGTCTATAGATCTTTCGCAGAAAAACTTATACAAATTCTCAGCGTGTATTGAATTGATAATAGGGGCAAGAGGGGGTATGTACCCACATGTATATTCTATTGAATAGTATTAGCGAGGGTACTCAATCACTTACCAAAGTTTCATGACGACCGGATTAAAAGTGTAGGAATGCATAAAGGACAATTCGAAATCCGCTTTTATATACACATATGTATATGTATACATACATGATTACGTATTGTTCTACAAAAATAAAGTTTTTATTTGCTATCACTTTTGTAAATGTTTCCGAAAACAATTTTAGTTAACGCGAGTTTAATTCAATCACCTTACGTTTTGAGGTTGTATTAAAATGGACCTAATTGTAATTGTTTAAAAAAATAATAATAATAAAAATAAAAAGCAATCTCTGATTGTATATTAACAAAATAAAGATGATCCCCATGACTTCAATATATTTTCGTTAGGATTTATTTATATACTTATAATAATTTACGGGTGGGGCATTTCCCTTTGAATAGGTACAATTTCTAATACTTTTAAATTTTAAGTAAAGAATTGATGTTAAATAAAATAGTTTGTACAGTTTGGAATCGCGAGGGAAAAAAACGAAAACTATGCTATCGTACCAAAATATCGATTGCGTACGAATGATAAGACTCGATCGGCGTAGAGATTGCGGGAGCAATTAATCTCTCGTCGTTAACGAAAAAAAGAAGATTATAATACTATGTATTTTACCAACTGACCAGCATTAAAGGCGACACGAAAATGATAATCGTATACAGCAGTTTCGGCTGTGTGGTATTATAGTAATAATGCATTATATTATAATAGACTAATTACAATTATTTATACATTAATATTTAATACTGTGATAACGGAACGGCCGACGAATTGTGACGGCTTAAAGTTGTTTTCACTATCATCGTTGTCGCAAGCTAGTACCTACACCTATTCTACACAATAGCATGATAATATTGCCATGGTCGAGATAAGCTGGTCTACAAAATAATATGCCTACACAGCCGACATCAATCTTGATCCACAACTCGAAATCGTTATGGTCACTGAGCGTCGAAATTTAATTTGATTAATGGCTGCAGCGACGGTCGTACACGTTGTTATAAAGTCATTTAATATACTTAAAGCCATCGGCACAGTCTAGTCGTCGTCGTCGTTATTATTATTATTATCATCATCTTCGTCGTCGACCGTCGTCATCATCATGAGTAGGTAGGTAGGTATATCGTTATTCGTAAGTATCTTTGTACATATAGGTGTATATAAGTATATACACAAACAAATACACACACACACACAATCGTCGTCACGGTATGTACCGACCGACCATAGAGTAAAGAATAATATGATATACCGACAGACTTACTCTACATACGGCCCCCGTCAACAGCACTCCGGTATTATTATTATTTAATAATAATAATAATAATAATCACAACAAAAGAAAAACGTAACGACCGAGACACAATAACCGAACCATTGATATCGGTCAGCGCGCAGGTACATCTATGCGGAATACGAACATTACAAGTGTAATACACAATCACATCATATAGGTAACATAAACATTGTAATCAACACAACAGCGAACGTATTACACATTGCAACGAGACCGAATGTTCGAAGATACCGTTACGCCAAGTCGTTTCCAGACTTTTCGTTCGATTTTTTTTTTTGTCCATACTTTTCTTTTCGAACGATTGCCTGGTATTCCCGTCGCTCCTCTTCTCCGTCCCTTCGCTATTATAATTACATGATAATAAAAAAGTCATCAAAATATTGACCATCAAGGTCATCAACCCCTGTGTTTCCCTTATAAACAGGTGGTAATGAACTAATCCGAATTCTGATCTATGGGATTTTTTAATACGCTCAAAGCAGACCATACTTTTAATTATTTGGGTTTTTTTCCATTTACCGTTTAAGAAGTGTCGTGGTATCAAATTTTTTTTTTTCAAATGGAAATCACTCTTTTGCATCCTATAAATTCTCGTCAAGCAATTATAATGGTTTAAATACATTGAAATTTGCATCAGTAGATGTTGAGTTATTCTATTCTATTCATAGAAGTATGCTTGAAATATATGGGGTCCACAATGATTTGAAAATAAAAGAAGTATTTATAAATCGGTATTTTATATTTTGTAAAAATTGTCTGAGTACCTGTAGTATTTTTATACTATGGTGCCTGAAATATTACTTATTTTTTATAGTTTTGTAAAACATTTTTATAAACTTTTATCTTTAGTATAAACATATTAACAACTCAGAAACTATAATAGAATTTTGATTTAGATACGTCACAAAATATTCAACCGAATGATCTGCTTAACAATTTATAGAAAAAATGGTAAATTCTCAATTGGTAAATGAACATTGTACCATCACATCTTGAAACTCCTCAAATTGTATAACAAAAGAACTAAATAATTTAAAATATGGTACTTGAGTAGATGTACTTAATGAGCTTCCAAAATTCCAAATTTGAATAAATGTATTAATAAAGGAAATAATTGGGATTAATGATTGGTCTCAGTCACTAACGTGTTATGGGGGTCAATCATTGGCAGGCGTTGCTAGTTCCCGGATGGGTGACCACCCTGGTTTTTAGTGACGAATCCTCGTCCTACATACTCGTGTTCATCAACCAACCGTAACTCCTCTACAAAATGCTAATGACCATAGTTGCCGATGCTTAACATATAACAAAAATTGGGATTTGGGATGAATGTTCTTGGTTTCTTATGTACAACTATAGTTTAGGTTACATATCCGTGCGGACATCGCGGATTTGATCATAATATTTTTATAAATGCCTGTAATGTGTAGGTATCTAGTATCTACTACAAAAAACAAGATACCGGAAATAATACATTAAAAATTTTGTCGGTGGTAGTTCTTATGAAAAAGATTAACATCTGCAGTGTTCTGTGTCGTCTATTTGCCATTTTTGTGCAAACTAAACTTGAGGAGGTTTATTAATTGTGCATTTCCAAACATTTTTCGTACATTTTTTTCTTTGATCGAAAATAAAATTAAGGCTCTGAAACTGAAATTACGTTTACTGCGGGTGTCTAACACCCATATGCTATTATAATGACGTGTACGTGAGCAAACATAGCTGTTATAGAATTCACGAAATTATAATAATAATACGTAGATCTAATGTGATCGAATTGGTATGCATAATAGGTATAATATATGGGTCGGTAGCACTAAAATGGCATACCTGAACAGTGTTTTTCACCGAATCTGTTTAATTTCTCTTCGGCACGCTCGTCCGATATTCTACGACAGTGTGTTTCAACATTAGGCTTTCAGTTATCGTTTTTTTCCCCCAAAATGCGATACACCGCGCACTCGTGTGTGTTTTACACGCCTGTTTAAACCGTATACTATAACGAAATTCGAGTATTTTATTTTTACATCCGAGCAATTAGATAAAGTCGTCAAACACACCTCGTGAGAATAATAATATATTATGATTTCGTAAAAATATGACGTGATGGGCCCGGACGCGTGTGCGGTATTTTTTCAAGAAAAAATTTGGTCTAACCACGTCAGACGATTACGATTCCGCCGCTGTTTTCCGCGCATAACCGCATGGCCGCTTTCCGCACGCGCGGCAGACAAGACCTATACCAGCTATATATATTAATACATCCGACTACTTACCTGTAAATTGTAATTATAATATTATATGTTTAAGACATTGTGCGGACTTACAAACTTCCGGCGAATCCGGCGGCTTTGTTCTCGATCACCGTCGGTTCTGGTGGTTTGCACATTATGATCAGCTCTTGGTCGGACATCATGACGACGCCAGGGAACTGTGGAAACCACACTCGGACGTGCACGAAACCCTGAAAAACACGAGTATGGTGAACGAAATATGAAAACGACGTAGAACGTAGGTGGTCTGAAAAAAAACTATCGAGACCCACGTGACAACAATCAATTCAAATTTATTTGAACAAATATTTCTTTATTTTATAAATGCATTGAATATTAAGTTTATTTTACACACTATAGGAACCAGTTGATCATTAGACACGCGTTATTTCGAAAACTATAAATAAATTTTTTGAAAGTATTATTCTTACATAATTTCAAGTCTTTATGTAGGTAAAAACCAAAATGATTGAAAAATAAAAATTATATTTCTCACAATTTTTTTCAGAATATCATTCGGAGTATTTAGATACATAAAAATCAAAATTCAGGCGAGTAGTTAATTAGAAATAGTATTTTAAGTTTAGATAAGTGGGTAAACATTTGAAGGGGTGTAACAGATGAATCATACCCCTGGATGAATCATAATCCCGGGGGTATGTTTTTCCTAGGTTAGTAGTACCCCCGGTACAAATATCCTGGGATATTAATACCCCACTAAAATTATGTACTGGTGGTACAAATATCCCAGGATAATAATACCCCAATGGAGCTTTAATTATCATAGGATATTTGTACTCCTGGTATGACATTTGGGAGGTATAGGTATCCTAGGATTATCATACCGGGGGTATAAAATTCCTAGGAGATTCGTAGTCCCCGGTAAGAAATTTTGGAAAGTATGAATATCCTAGGAAATTTGTACCAGGGGTACTATTAACCTAGGAAAATCATACTCCCGGGGGATATGAATATTCGGGGTTAAAACAATACGTTTTCCTGTCACAGCTAGATGTACCTCTGACCACAGTAAGTTCCTCTTCACTCCGCTTATCAATAAAACTTAACAAACGTATAAGTTGTAACTCGGTTTCTATACATCGAAGAATACGGAAAAATATTCTATCATGTAAAATGAAATTAAAAATGTATAATATTCTCATTAAAAAATTTTTAAAAAAAAGAAAAAATAGAAAAATTATAATTAAAAAAAAATTGTTATATAACGACTTCAAATTGTGTTAACTTCTTGAAATAATGAGTGTTCTTCGGGGAATGAATCACCCAGTATTTTTACACAAGAGTTAAATATGGTTTTTAAAATTGTATTATGCATGTCAAACTATTATTATCATAATTGATTATAAATAATTAACTATTTATAATTATTATGGCTAATGAGTAATGTCTATGCATGTAAGTACCTATATACATTTTTATGAACATCGTAATAATTATGTATACCTACCACTAATATACTCATAACTTTTCAATAAATAGTTAAAATTTGGTAATAATTTTACGAGGTAATATGTTTCTAGAATATTTAATTTTTAGTGAGTCTTTTTAGTTTTTTCATGGTTTTTAATACATAATAACAATTTTGGAAAGTGCAAAGTCTAAAAATGTCCTCAGCTCGGTACCCTAATGGTAATACAATTGAAACAATCTGTCGAATTCTACTCAGGGGTTCGTCCAGATTTTGAATCATTAAACTGGTAGAGATCATTAAATATTAAAACTATTTTGGCCTATTCCAATGATCTCACGAGACATACACGACATTTGAGCCACTGTATTTTCTCTTCTTTCCGCGAAAACACGGTGGTTCAACTTGTATACTCGCGATGACGCCAGATAGTAAGACAATAATGTAAATAAGCATAATATTTAATATTATTTATATTCTAATATGATACACGAAAATGTGTATAACTTACGTTTCGCCTGAGCACGCCACACCGCGTGAAGTCGGTGACCAACAGATTGTAGGTCAGCAGGGACACGTCCGATAAGTCGGGTCGTATCTGGCAGACCGGATCAATTAACGGGTCGACGGACCGGTCGTCGGCGAACAGCGGGTGCCCCTTGAACCCGTCGGGTTTCTTAAGCCGGGCGGATATCACATCTTTGACTCCTAAAAGTGCTTTGCCCACCCTCAGCGAGTCCGTCGAAAACGAACACTGTATTTCAGACACTACAAATACGACAAAATAAAAACAAAATGTCATGCGTTCGTAATTAATATAATATAATTGTATTTAATGAATATGACGAGATCGAGATGACGATTTTCTTCGAGGAAACTGGGATTTTTTTTTCGCAAAAAGACTTTGTTTTGAGAAATATTGCTGTGAGAATGATTACGCGTTTTACTTGCAGTCGTCGCAGGTATATATTTTTATCGTCTGTTATACTTATCGACACTAGTTTACGTTTACCTCTTTATGTGGTGGATGGCGCGTGTTTATGGAACGTTTAATAAACACTCAATATAATATTATAACGATCGTGCTCTGACGATTTATCTCATCACTCGACCGACGTGCAATTATTATTCTATTTTTCTTTACTTTCGTCGTACGATAAAGACATTATTATTGTTACTTTTATATCATTCACGTGTTGTTGTGCCATTGAAACAGATACACGCAAACAATACACACACACACACACACACACACACACACACACACACACACACACACACACACACACACACACACACACACTATACCATCGGCGGAGGGAGATCTAAATCGAGACGAATACCATAATATACGACTGCCGCCAATAATTAGATGCCATTAAATCTAGATCGACGCCGACTCCTCGGCGTTTTCCGCACTCGCCTGGATTAAAAGTGCATTTATCGTGAAACATTTTCGTAGCGCCCACGACGACAATAATATTATATAAGCCGAACACTTCGTAGAAAAAAAAATATGTGTCATATAATAATAATGTAATGTATTATGTGGAAACGAAATTAGGACGTTTCCGCGAATGGATCGAAATACAACGAGAAGACATATTTTTCAATATTCCACTGCACCATAATTTCGGATGGCGGTTGCCGGTCGGGCAAAACTAAATATTTTATAGGATATGCGGAAAAATCTATTGGCCGTTTAGCGGAGGACGGAACAAAATACCTATAATATTGTGTACACGTCGCGCGTCGTCAATATAGGAAGCGCGATTGTTGTTTATAGTATATAGATATGTACACTTACCATCGTAATCTTGAGTAGAAACCTCGTGTGTCTGGAAAAAAAAATAAAAACATATTTAAATACTTTAATATTAACCGAATTACCAATAATTCGAAATACCTAAACCAATGTATAGAAAGTCAACCGAAATGGTAATTATTGAAAAACTCATTAGTTGTTTTCCCGTACTATTGAAATATCGTAATGAATTAAGCACGAATCGAAATACAAATCGTTCATCATAATGGATAATTGTCGATTGATCCACTTTTACTGCGAACACGTCATGTATACACAATAGTATCTATATATAACCATATCACACCGATAAGCTGACCGTAATGTCGTTGACTTCAGGCATCACACCTGATTGATTAACGTGAAAATTTCTCAGATGAAATTCCCTCTTTAGCTGTAGTATTCCTACACGATCTAAATACGAGTTAATGAAAACCCCCCAAAAAAAATCGAGAGTACCTATACCTATTTGTAAATTATAATAATACTTCGATGACGGCATATAAATTATAGCTATTATAGTCGGTTATCTTTGGTTAGCTAGGCGAAAGACGAAAGGTTTATTTTTTTTTTTTCAATACACAGATTTAAACGACGTGTACACTGCTTTGATACGAATAAAACGTCCATTAAGTGGAAAAAAAGCGATATTTATAATGAATACCCAATATAACAAGACGTTAAATCGATCTAGGTTTTTGCTACGCAGTTCGATACATTTTAAACACGAAGAAAGTATACTCTTCGAAGGCGAGAAAATTACAGGTGTAGATTTAATTGAATAAACATTCCATTTTAATACCTATAGAATTACGCGTGATACGTACTGCTGCAGAACAATTAGAACCACACTCGACATAATTGAAACGGATACCCGAACCTCTTCCGGACTTTACAGTATAATATATTATTATTATAATATGTAAGTAAGACATTTGACCGAGTTTCGTCAGACATAAAATAATGTTATACAATTCAGCGTGTTTATCTGGTACGTATATTATTGTTGTTATTATTATTTCGTTTGGCGCAAAAAACGCGTTGCGGAGGTGGCGATGGTTTATACCGAAATCTGCGATTTGGGACACGTTCATACCGGACGATAGGAAATGTCACAAAACATTTCCCATGAAAACGTCGTATTCTCCGGCCGCGGACTAATAAAAATTATTATTATAATGAAAAAAAACGACGAAAATTAAAAAAAAAATCGTGTCCTGCTTGCCAAACGCGAGCGGTGGTGGCGGCGTAACGACCGAAATCAAAAGGAAACTCTTCCGTCCTTTATGCCGGTATACTTACTGAGTAATAATGACAACGACAATAATATTATTTATTTTTATACACGCTCGTATCTCTCCGTAGATCAGTCGCAGTGGAAAAACGTCGTCGGGTGGCGATACGTATCGCACTGCTCTCGCACACGAAAGGAACCCAACCGTATGGTGTGTGTGTGTATGTGTGTGTGTGTGTGTGTGTGTGTGTGTGTGTGTGTGTGTGTGTACGGCCTACGCAATGAAACGCACTCAGAGACGGAATTTAATATTATACCCCACATTACAGATTTATACGCGGCGGCGAGTATATAACGCGTAACGGGACGCGATATCCGACGGGCGAGTCACCGTATTTTATAATATATTATAATGATAATAATATAATATTTCACTGTATAGAGGAAATAAACCAAGCCCGGGCATAAAGATGAAAGAGGTACAGCAGCACGACGAACGGAATCTATGGCTGGAATAAGCGTGTACAGTTTTTCCGGGAACCGCGTATATTATTATGTATGATTATAGATACAAATTCATGGAAATATAGGTATATGATAACGATAACGATACGTTTAATGTACATGCTATGACCCATGGGTTATCACATTGCAGTCGAACAACTTATACAGATTACAGAGACTCGAGGTGATGTATACCTATGTACAGCATGTAATGTTGTGCAGGAAAAATGATGATAATAATATTATATTATATGACCATTGATGTTTCCCGCGCTCCGTGATCGGCGGTATTTGTCTGTTTTCCTGTTTTCCTGGGTGTTCTATATTATATTATTGTTCGTACACACGCTGACACACATAACTGTTCCCGCGAAAAACAGCTCCATCATCCCTACATAATACCATATACACCTATTACACCTAAATAGTGTAGGATCGCCGCGACCGTACGTCATTGTTGGAACAATAATATCATATACATAGATACATGAATTTGTGGGCAATACGCGAGTTTCGTGAGAGTATAATACAACCAATACCTACATAAATGATAGGCAGGTACCTAAACTATTAGATATATAACACGATTATTATTCTATACGAGCCACTACGGCGTTTTTTCCCGTTTGTTTGCGTTCAGTATTTTTGACGTTTTTTTTTCGGATTTTTGTGCGCCTTATTCGCAGGTCGCGCGACGTTCTGGTTTTGGCCTTTTTTTTTTTTTTTTTCCGTTTTTCGTAAACCGCCGAGTAACGACTGTTCGAGTACATTATACGCGCGTTACACCCGAAGAGACGCGTATATAAGACGGATAATTTCCGACCAGTCGGGCGGGCGGCGGCGGCGTGTATTCGGTCGACCAAATTCTTTGGTCCGCTGGATCAAAAATACGGTTCTTGCGAGACGTATTCAGGGCGCGACGCAGACAACCATAATAATAACATACCGCGTATATGGTACACCATTCGACATGTCCAATGACGGTGCCTCATAATGTACAACAATATCGTAGGCACTTATAATAATACAACATATTATACTGCGACCTGCAACTGCAATAATACAACTGGATGATGCGTATTAGTACCTATAATATGTATGCGCAGCATTAGGTTTCTCGTTTTTTGTCGTGTTTCCTTTTTGTGCGGTGTTACTTTTCGCCGGGGTGTATGGTACCTACCTGGTTGACAAACGGACGCAATGGTGAGATAATATATTATAGTTAACAACTCTTGTATACTCACTGTAATGGAAATTTAATACGTGATTATAACGTAAATCGGTACGAAAATCGAAAATAATCTCCCGACAAAAAAACACCATATAAATATAAATAATTTGATCTGCTACGAAATGACAAATAACATTAAATAGCCCAAAACGTTATATACATGTATTTTAATAGTTGTTATTCAGATATTATGATTATTATATGTTATTATATTGTACTGATATGTTTGACGTAGGTTACTGTTTATATTCCATTACAGCAATGTGCACGAGAGTTGCAAACTATCACTGTCACGTTTGGAATATAATAATTAACGTGCACTGTGCACAATAATATAATTATTTACACACAATATTATACATTATTTGTTGTACCACGTGAATGAGAATTTGTATTCCTATGCCAACAACATAATAACACTGAAGTGTTTATTTTTATTTTGTCTCTTTTTTTCTAGAGAAGGTGAAAAAGAAGGAAACTATCACGTCTATGTTTTATTGTTGTTCATCATTGATTGTTGTACTTACGGAATGACTCAAGCACGTACTAAAATGAAAAAAAAACATTTATCTAACTGTCGATTTGATAGTACATATAATATATGATCAACGCAAAACGTTTTTATTTTTCAATCAGTAGGTCACGCGTATAGTATATTCTAAGCAACATAAACATTATTATTATGTTTTATCATTAACAATTATATTATTATATGTAGGTACATGATCTCGGAAACGCGTTTAAACGGTTGAAACGTATTTTTTTTCCCATTTGCACCGATCGTCTTTATCAACAACTATAACAAAAAAAACTAACTCAATGCTTTATACTTTACTTTCTTTTTTCATCGAAGTAAACTTCACGTTTTTGATTTCTTCAGTTTAATTACCAAGATCGCAATTTTATAAACACGAGACGATGAGAGTACCATGCTACTCTAATAATATATATACTAATGTCGTACGTGATGTCGCTAGTTTGGAAATCACAGTCTGTCGTTTTTACTCCATATCGGTGAATTATATTATGCCTACTGAAATTCGTTGAGCATAATATTTTTTATCGACTTAATGCGGAATCGATGAATAAAAAATACCTTTATTATACTGTCCAGCTTATAGCGCTCGTCAAAGACAGTAAATTACTAAATTTGAACGATATCACGTAAAGATTCTGACAACAACCAGCTAGATATTGGATACTATTTGTTTTCAAATAGTTAATTAAATATTATTTTGTTTTATTTCATTATAGTTGTTTTTACCATAGTTAAACCGTTGTATTCGGGACGAATTTCGAATGTAGTTCGTTACGAGTGTCTTCCCTGTACAAGTCTACACGTCTTGATATCGGAGACTATTTCTTGATATTATTTCGAGTTATTATATTATACTGATGGTATTTAATTGAACTCCATGTGAATTGAATCATAGTTACCATAATACCAAATACATATTTTCAATATTGAAATAACAGTTAATTAATAATAGCAGTTTAAGATTAGATGAAAGAAATTTATTTCTGAAATTAAGAAGTGTACTCCACTTATCGGCCATCTCAACTAAACTTAAATATTTGTAAATATTGATGCAGCATTTGATAATTATCTAAAAGAATATTTCCTTCAAAGTTAACATAAAAATATCTCACTTATAACGATGTAAAACTATTGATAAAGTCTATCTCAGAAAATGACTTAGAAAATAAACGTTGAGCGTATCCGATAATGTGGATCACTCTGTATATCATTGTAAATGTAACCACCAATCTATGGATTTGTGCGTCAGCGTGTCTACATCTTTCACAGTTATAAGTTATAACACATAATATTTCGTACTGGTCAGGGACAAACCAAACTGACCAATTTATTATGATGTGGTACGAAGTACAGCGATCGGCAATAGAGTCCCATCACGTGGAGAGTATAAATCCAAAAACCTCTCAATAGCACTACTTTCGTGACACATATTATACCCATGTAGCGGTCCAGCCGACCGCGAAGCGTGATCGCCGAAATCTGGTTTATAATTATTTTGATTGTTATATTTTATGATGACCGTCGCACCATATT